CTTTGGTAAGCTTTTGCATTTTGCCTATGATAACTGTCTGATAAAATGAATACACAAAAAATTCAGCCAAAACAGCCAATGCTGAAAGCATAAAATGTGTATTTTAAATTGAAAGAAGAGTAAAACTACTGTAATTTAACGGAGATATATCATTCTTATGAATAAAATATGCTAATTATATCCAACTGCCAACTATCCAACCGGCATTATTGGCTTAAAGGGAAAAATATAAGCAGTAAAATGGACTGAACCATGATTAAGGATTTCAATTGTGACACCAAGTGAGATAACTACTTGTCTACTTCAACCACTGCCCCTTCTGGATATTAGTTATTGCAGTTTTGGTCAACTAAAATCTACATATTGCGATAAATAGATAGGAAAAACATAACCAGGAGTTTCTGGGAGGAACTCAGTAGGTTCACAGTTACATGATCACATGAAGGCTCTAATATGAACTCTAGGCTATGCACAAGAATCTATATATGAAAAACATCCTTCTAACACATGTAGCAGCCAATGCCAACATCAATCCAATTAGTAATGTTTGGGACTAGGACAGAGGGCATAGACACACTTCAAGATGCAACGCAAGAGTTTTCATGATTGCAAGTGCTTAAAGAGAGATATACCTGAATAGGGATCAAAAGAGCCAACATGAGGGCACCGAGAAGTGCTGCAGGACCTAGTTGCGCATATAGCAGGACCATGGCAATAACAATGCGAAAAGGAGCAGACCATAGACTGTGAAGTTGCTGGCATACTTGCTGCAAATTTAAGGATAAAATTATAAGTGTGCAAAGTGAGACAAATTACCCGCATGTACGGTATGTAATGTACGCACTGCATTTCTCCCTCCTCTCTAACATAGAAACAATAACTGAGTCTTAACGACGTACCTGAAGGGACTCCGCATCAGTTGAAATCAAATTTGTAATCCTCCCAGAAGCAAATTTCTTACGACTATCATTGGTCAATCGCAAGGACTTGCGGAAAACAGCAGCAATCTGTGGGCCAACAAAAAACCACAAACTTTTCTAAAAATGATGAAGTGATTCCTGAAACATTGGGGGTGGTCCATATGTCTAGTGTGTTCTTTGGACTTGTTCTCTGAGTCTGTAATATAAATTATAATTTCTTGTGACTGAAAGGAAGTGCTCTTGCCAGCTTCTCCGACAGAAGTAACATTTGTCTATACCTAAAGTAGTGTAACAAAAATTTAAGGTAGAAATTAGAAGTTTGGAACAGGGTCTCTATTGTTGCACACTAGATATATTATAATCCTTTGCTGTCAGTACTAAATTTTATTAGTGCATGACAACTAACCATGTGTTTTTTAGGGCAGCTGAGACAGGTTATCTAGTTTATATGAGGAAAAGTAAACTAGTAAGTCACGAGGTAAGACATGTGCGTGTTGCACGAATCAGGAGGTGCAAGCCCCATATCAATCGTAAGTAGAAATGAGAGTGACAACAAAGCAAAGTGGGACCAGGTATTCTGTGGTTGCATATTGACTCTCTTAACAGAAAGCTAAAAAGCATGTGATGCACTTTTTAGGCTTTGATAGATAAAACTTACCAATGTAGACCTCAATCTGAAACCGGTCCGCATGACATTCTGAAAGTACTGTGCTTCAGCAAGAACTCCCAGTGACTGGAGAATGGTACAGAAAGTTAACAAGGATAAAGGGTTTTTAAAATCCCAAGCAGCATTGCTTACGAGTTCAAGCATGCGTCATTAGCAAAGAAATATAATGTACAGCATGCAAGAGATGAAAATAGTCCATACCACTCCAGCAAAGATTGAGAAAGCGTAGATGTACCCATTCCAAGAAGGATCACCTTTTTGCATAGACTGCCAAAGAACACCAAACTTTTAGTGGTACACAGAACTAAACAATATGCAAGGTTTCTCAGTGTGTTCAAAGTCACTGTTGTAGTTTGAGTATGATGAAAATAAATAACTAATAAAACAGAGCATTTTGCCATTGTGACTCTGAAATTTCATGAAAGGAGAAGCACACCTCTAACAAGAGGCTCAATACGGTTGGGCCAACAAATTGAGAAGCATCATTGCCAATCTACAAATTTGGGAGGGGAGATGATTACCAGATTAACACAAATTAATTGTGATCAAATCGGACTAACATAAAGACTGAACTGAAAGGCAGATCTTCTAAATTAACAGCCTAGATATTTATACACACACCTTAAAAAATCCTCCTAGCCAGAACCTTGAAAGTTAAGAAAAATACCGAATGTTAGCACAAACCAAATAGCAAGTAGCCGCACCGTGGAGATTTTGAGAAATATAGGTTCCATATGTACAAATTTACCTTCCACCGAGGCTACTATGGAGAGCTCGTAGCAGCCAAGGTTTGGGTTTTTGAAGTTCTTTGTTCCAGCATTCCTGAAATCTGAGACAAGATCCCAATGTTTAATTAGTGTGTACAAATATCCTCATTTCAGTCAAAACTCAAAACTGTGGTAGAACATACCGGTTATATAATGTTTCAGTCTCATCCCAATCATCTAGTTTCCAAATATCACTATCAGTGATAGGCCTTTTGTATCCTTGTTGCATTAGAGGGGTCATCCATGAAAAGAATATCCCTATGAAAAAGCAGCAACAAGGCAAGTAGATTTACATCAATAAACTTCTAGAGGTCATGAGAGTAGAGAAGGGTATTATGTGAGTATCTGATACTGTGCAATGATTTATATCTACTCACTCGAAAAGATATTGGCATGCCTTTCAGGGCAAATCTGCTCTCCTCCTGGAAGAGGTTCATAATCAGTATTGTCATCAACAAGCAACTCGCTCCTGATTGGAGTATAACCCGGGTAGGGATCCAAGCTAGGCAGATACACCACCATGAGAATTCCAAAAACGCACTGCAGAAAAATGTGTTCAATATACAGCAGAGGTCTTGGGAATTCGATTATTGTTACTATTCGAAATGTATGGCATATTTTTTACTGAGTATGAATATACCAGGATTTTTTTGTAAAATATTGTATGATTTTTTACCATTAATTTCTTGTAAAATATTTTGTTAATGGTTACAAAAACACAATCATAAGGAAGTGCTTCCCAAGAAAAAAAACGGTAGTATCAAATTGTGTACCATAATGCATATATTCATAGATTAACTGTTGGTCAAAGCTTGAATTTGAGCAGTTAAAATACACCTTTCATGAAGGAATGGAGATAGTAGACAACAAAGGGGCAAACCTGGCATATTATCTCGCTGCAGTATAGGTAGAATATTGAACTGCATAATAAGCAAAATAAAGAAGTTAGCCTACATATACAGAGCTCTAAACAGGGTAGCTCTACCATCCAATAAGTTTCATTAAGTAATATACCTTGAACTATAGTACTGCCTCACTGGAAGCACAACATTGAACATAGCAGCTTTCCCAACCAATACGTAAATTACCACAAACCGGATGTACCATCTAAATTCAGTGATGTAAATTTTTGTCTCCAGCAAAATCATTGTAAGCATACAGCACCAGGCAGCAATCTCGATGACCAAGGAAGTAACCTGTAGACAGGTAGAGCTTCAAGCGACTGAAAAGGCTAAAGGGAACAAGTACTTGGTAGAAGTAAAGGTCTGAAAGAAGTGCATGTAACGCCACTGACAAACTATTGTCAAAGCTAAAGTCTAGGTAATTGGTTGTATACTCCTTCAGATTTTATCTGCATACTGTAGGTGGCACGTAACTATACCCCATAACAGTTTGCTGCAGCGAAATAAAATCAGTCTAGTCACTTGTGAGTGAGATGCATACCAAACATAATATTTATTCACTGCAAAACTACAGGTAGCCCTAGAATCTATTGCTACACAGTTCCCGGGAAATATACTCATCAAGCAGGAATAGCATACCAGCATACAAATCAAACCAAGATTTGACAACGACGATATGAAGCATTCTCACCTCAAATGGAGCAAGGCCAGACTGGCCATCCAAGTTCATGATGGAGGTACCGGTGGCGATCTTGTAGAGCGGCTCCGCTATGCAGTACACCACAAGCAGCCCAAGCAGATAGTTGTAGTACGGCGAGCGTATCTTGTACCGCTGCACCTTGTAGTCTTTGGTCGTCCTCCATATCCGATAGAAGCAAACGCCAAAGAGTGCGAGGTACGAGATGCACACCACCAAGGAGTCAATGCCACAGGGTGTGTATGCGCCAAATGCACTCTCCATAGCGCGAGACCACGCCCCATCCTTCACGGGCTGACAGTACCACTCCAGTGGTTCGAACCCCATCTCGACGCCTCCCTCTTAGCAATCCCCCCAGTACTCGCTCAGTTCCGATCTTCCCCTGAATTCAAGAAACAAAACCAAGGAAACCAGAGAGGATTCAGCCAATGACCTGCAGTATCCTACAAACGAAGGTACTAGCAATAAAATGGGCAACGACCAACAAAGATTTCGGTGCCAACCAATCAATCAATCACTGTAATGTTTGCAGCATCAATGTGCCCACAAAGTTCTGCACTAAATGATCAATTAACGGGTAGCAGAGTCTTTGGTAGCTAACCAATAAATGCACTCGCAGGTTGCAGCATCAGTATACTACTACTACTACACCAATGTCTTCACTCGATAAATGGTCAACGGAAACGGTAGCAATGAAGAGTTCGGGCAGCTAATCAATCTATCACTGTATGACATACAGATTCGTTGCACACAGATTAAGCATAATCCTCGCTAAACCTCCACCCGTTGACCAGCGCATGAAGCGCAAGGCATGTCGCGCACGATCGACTCCACGGTCCGCAAACAGAATTATAAGCACAAGAAAGTGAAAAAATAAAACAGAGAGGAGAACAACAAATCGCAGGAAGTTGGACAAATTTTTCACCTCCTGAATCCATCGGTAAGCAGTCAAGCAGATACGAGTATTACAAGATGGGATGGAACATGCCTACTGCGAGTTAAATAGGAATAGATGAAGGAAAAAGGTTCATCATCCCGAGAGAATACATGCCCAGCCGGTCCAAAACTCGCAGGAATTCCCGCGAGCCTTTGCAGCTTTACGCACTAATCAGAAAGAAAGGGAACCTTTCTGCGGCAAACGGCGCCGAGTTATCTTCTTCTCCCTCTGCCCGGGGAGATGAGACGAAGGAGAGCCACCCAAAGGGCCCGAGGGGCTACGCGACAAGCAGTAGGCACCCAATCCAAATCAGGAGAGCCCACGCCCCCGGAAAAACCTCAGAAAAATCCAACCGAGAAACTCGTCGCGCCGAGATCGGTCGCCTGGCTGCGGAGCGGGAGAGCGGGACGGCGGCGGCGGAGCTCACCTCGCGGGGGCGGGATCAGGCGGAGAGGAGGCGGCGGCGGCGCACCCGAAGCAGCGCCAGCATCTCGCGCGGTCTGCAGCAGGTCGCGGGCGGGGCGCTCTCTCTCTCCCTCTGTGGCTCGTTGGGAGGTGGGAGGGAGGATGGGGAGAGGTTGGGAGGGAGGGATTATTTATGGGTTTGGATTCGGGGCGATTGCCATGGTAGGGGGTTAAAAGTGAGACGGGAAGCTGCACTCGCTGTTTTTTCCTCTCCTTTTGGGAGGAAGGGGCAGTAGGAGTACTTGTTCCGATTTTCTTTCTATTTTTCTCTCGGCGCCTTTTTTTTTTTGAGGTGGAAAAATATGTTGCACGGTCCCGCTTTGCCCTTTTTGTACGTAGCTTTGTACGCATATAATATAATCCGGCGCTGTGTAGGGTAGGCCAGCGTGACACGTGACCCCTAGAGATCGAGCCACCAGTGTCCTCGTAATGTGCTGCTGTATCAACTGCCGCGTCTCTCAGACACAGGTGAAGATTTGCGTCCCGTTTTGACGAACGTCACTGCAAATGTCACCACAAAAAACACACACAGAAAAGCGCAGGAATTTCAGATGCTGTTTCTGTTCCACGTAGCGGCATACACCTCCCGGGAAGGGCTCAGGGCACGAAACTGCACCCGCGGTCTAGTTTTTGACTGGTACGTATGCTACTTCTGTGGAATCTTTTTTGCTGCGAACGAACAAACTGCGGAATCCAAGCGGCACTTGGCCGTGCACTCCAGTGATTTTCTTAAGCAGCGGTTCCTAATCCCAGGCGGCTAACAAAAGCTCCCTTTCCCCATGATTGATTTTTGAGGATTTTTAAACACAATCTGACCGGATTTGGTGTCCGCTGTGCTGCGAGGTTTGGTGAGGCACGAGGAGGAGGACGTCACCGCTGACGGCCCACCGGGAGGAGAGAGAGGACGGGCAAGTCAAAAGGAAAGATCCCCACGTCCTACCGGTGCGATTCGCGCCTCGCTGTCGGAGCTGAATCGTTCCGCTGCGAATAAAATGGAGTGTAGGGTGTGTTTGGATTAGTACAACCAATTACTACCAATCATGCCCAAAAAAATGTTGGCAAGCACATAAACATGTGTTGGGATTAGGGTTGACGCCAAGATCTCTGGTCGTGCCCACACGCGCCATTTCGTTTCGTTTCTAATCCTCGCCAGCCCAAGGGCGCGGCGATGGCCCTGGACCGCACATCTCACCAGTTCCCTGATCTTTTAGGTGGTACATGCCCTCTCTTTTTTGGCTCAACTAACCTGCACGTGCATCGGCGCATGCAGCGAGAGCTACTGCAAACTCCAGGCTTGCGTGCCATTCTGCTAGCTTAAAAGCTATTTTCGCTTTCACCGCATTTCTATCTAACTTTATTAAAATATCTTACCAATCGTGTTTAATATATTTGGGGTTAGCATCATGGTAAAAATGGAAAATGAGAACTTATTACTCCAACCAAATAGTTCAAGTTTTTCAGAGTCTTCCACCTTATTGTTGGCTTTGTCATGGAAAATGGAACGGAACTAAATCACAGACACTAGCCAATCCAAACTATATATCAGCTCGGTGGGTTACAAATCAAACGGACAATTTTGCTATAATTTAAACAAAAACAACAATTTACCAAAATTTTGGTCATTCCTTTTCTTTTCTCAACCATTCCTTTTACAAACACAACCATTACAGAAAACCTTCTGAAGAAAAAGGAAAAGGACGGTAAGAGGGAAATATGGAAGGAGTTATAGAGAGACAAAAGGGCGAGTAAACA